AAAGCAGTCCTTGCCTCTCATTCTGAACCCCATTTGTTTTTGGGGATTGCGCGATGAATGAAGACATTGCGCTGCGTGTGGGATGCGTATGATTGAAGAATAACAAATATATAAAAACAGATATCATCTAGATTCTAGACTACCCCGACAGGGGAAATGAACTTTTTGGGTTGAGGAAGTAAGAGAATTTGAAACTGAGACTTATATTATTCCATGCTCGTATAACTACTATGAATTGAATGATATACTATTTGATTGAATTAAGTAGCATGCAATGACAGTGTACATGTGTATACTTTCATAATAAATGTAGCCCATATTTGGGCCAGAGTATAAATTCATTTGTGTGCAGTATATTTACTTTGCAAGGTGCATCATGTACAGTGGTGGAAAGGACTTGGTTTTGTGGTTGATATGAGAATTTCAGGGTGTAAAAAGGAAACGTTTTTTTGATCAGAAATGCAGTTCTGATTCTGATGCAAGTCGGGCATGTAATCATAGCTGGACAAGAGAAATGTCGATTTTGACCTGTGCAAGGCATCATGGGGCAAGATGACCTGGGACCCGTTTCACAAAGCCTTTTTTCAATGACAAATCTGCTGATAATCAATCAGAAGCAAGGATTTCAGTAGCTTATAACAAAAACTGTCATTTGTCACTGATGACAAGTTTTGTGAAACACCCCCCCCCCCCTGGTTTCCTGCAGGGTTCTAGACATGTTGGTGGCTGGTTGATGCAAACTTTAATAAAATCATAAAGCAAAGATCAAGTCCCAACGTGGTCCGTCCTCTCATCCAATCTCACCTTACGACATTTAAAGCCCCACTGCACTACTTACAGGTACTTGCGCCCTCTATATAGCAAAGAATGCCTAATCGGTGCCTGTTGATCCCCCATGATCCTCTTTCCTTATGTTAATTGAGAGCTGATTTGATGAGATAACCACCTTGCAGGGAGGTCTAATCCCCCTGGCCAAACTAGTGCAGACAGGCTTTAAATGAAAATCATGACATGCAGTGTTATTATCTTGACACTTCCTACTCATCATGGCGCCCTCTGAAGTCTACAATGTAAAAACGAATTCTGAAGATTTGTCAACTACAGAGGCAATAACACATCAGACACATAGGACATGGCATTATTGGATTTTAAAATGAACTTTAAATTATTTACCCACAAATATGTATGTACATAATAATCTGAATAATTATACAATACAGTCAATTACTCAACCCCAAATAATGCACTAATACCTGGCGTTTCAGTTTGCCTGCAAAAATATTGAGAATTAAACCAATATCCATCAAGCTGGATATTTAAAATATTTAATCGGGTAGCATCGGTCATTTGCGAGCCATAGCTGTGGTAATGAAACAAAATACGAAGTCCAAAATGGTTTATGGGAAAATGATTATCACAAAACGAAAATCTGGAAAAGAGTATAAGCATGTTGTGAATTTTACAGCCACAAATGGTCCGTTGTGCTTTTTAGGCAATATAAACGTAGCACACATGCACTTTTTGATGATTGTGATGTTTTGGTACCGCTACGTACTGTGCAGTATACATCACATCGACCCCATTATACTCGCTGTTTAAATATTGCTTAAAAATATGATCTGAAGAGTCTGAAGAATCAAGATGTCTGATTTTTAATCATTTTTTTTAGTTCTTTAGAAACATTTCATCTTCTTATTGTCGGTATTGGCTTGCAAATGCCCGACACTACCTTTTAAGAGATTCTAATATGTAAAAATATATTTATTTCATGCATATATATTCAACAAAAGCTGACATAAGCTCACTTTTCAACACATTTCCAACTTAAATGGAGTTGAACTCCCCTGCCTATTGAAGAAAAAACAAAATTACCAGTTGTCCGATAGATGCACAAATAAAACATCTTTTTATTTTTTATCGTGCAGGCTTTAGACTATCTATATAAATTAAGTCAATAGTCTATCTTTTTGGCCATTCTAAAGAAGACAATATTTACAGCACGGGACATTGTCTTTGAGCCTCCTTAGCCATGCCATTTCAAAACAAAAGACAAACACACAAAAACATGATAATTACAACATTAGAAAGAGACGCAGATAATTACAGTTGGGTACAATTGAAATATGAAATGTTCAATCAACTGTGACCTGGCTGCACGGCTAAAGCCACAAATCATTTGCATTTTTTCCGGGTAAAAGTTTTGTGAAGAAATAAATAGAGAGAGCATAGGTCGGAAGAGTAGATATGTAGCACCCTGCCACACGGGAGAAATCTTAGAAAACCCTTGAATGGCAAGAATCATTAATACATACAATGAATTAAATTATTCTCAAATATACAATACATTTAATAATAATACTACTATAATTACAATACTCGATTTGGAAAAGTGCATTGCATGATTATAAAACAAGTCTCGGGCACTTGCCAAATATTACTTCAGTTGTAATTATCAGACCACGTTTCATTTGAAGGAGACAAAAACATAATAATCATTAACGACACCTCGGGCAAAAGAAAAACTATCAGAAAAATGCCTTGTTGAAGGGCATTAGCAGCAGGCAGGGATTTGAACTCTAAACCTTTTGATTGATGGTCAAATGGACAAACCACAACGACATGGTGCTCTCACTGTGTTCACAAATGCCTTCTTTTACTCATTAAAAAAAGATCTTTACAACTGTATACCAAACCAACTGGAAAAGATGTTCAAGAACAAAAAATAGCAGGTTCCACATGAAAAATAAATACAATATACATAAACAGTAATACCCTCATGGCACATGAACATATACAAAGGAACCTTCATTTACAAAATAGTATTTTGTTTGGCACATAAGTTCAATTGGAACCTACATCTAATCTAAGATTGCCATAGTAACTTACCTTTAATTTTTATAATGGTCTGTCCAAAGGGTGGTCTTTGTTGGACTCTTTTGTCTTAATACTACCACTGGACCATAAATGGAAAGCCTCCACACCATCCTAATAAATGTACTATGTATTCTACACAATCAAACTAGAGAGTCTGTAGATTCAAAGTAACCAACATACACCTTGATTTTGATTGGCTGTTAAGCCCTGTTACCATGGTAGTTGCCATTGATGGCAAAGTTACCATCAATGGTAAGTTTTATGCAATGGGCCCAGGTATACTCTCTCGCACACACTTGGATTAAATTTTCTTGAAAGGCGTTCTTACTTCAGGCAGCGTATACCTTTATTTTATTTGTTTTGTACATATATTGTGCAATTGTGAAGACTAGCCACATCAGGTATTTGTCACACCAGCAGGCCCTGTTAGGATAGTCCCGAATAGGCCAATCACATTAAAGATAAACTTGAGCTCTGGTAAATATAAGAATTTTTTCTTCACAGAATCTAACAAAACTTACACTGAAAATAAATGACATGTGCCGAACAATCTTGGTAGAAAATGTGTATGGGCTGAGTAACGAGCATATAGACATCCGGGTAAGTAGGCCCGAATGTGCCTAACACAGGTCACTATGTGCAAATGGGAGTTGTGGTTTTTATAGAAGATGTTGCCCAGTACGTTTTTGTGCGTTTGTTTTAATTTCACTGGTTCAAAGTCCCACCAGTCTACTGCAGGATGAACAATTCAGAATAAATCATAATAGCTTTCTCTCAAAATATGATTCCCATACCAGAGCTCAAGATTAGCCTTAACAAAACATAATATGTATCATTGCAATCATGAATTATCTGGAGGTGAACAAGTCTCAACACTGTTTGGAGGTGTTTTGATCATTTGTGCTTCAATTTACACCTGTTCCAGCCCCTGTTAAGAGAAGGGTCTCAACTTGATTTATACACATGTACAGTCAACTGTGAAATACTGATACAGAAAGTGCTGCATATCATCAAACAACTTGTGAGGATAAATAGCATATTACGGTAAGCAAATGTGCTGGTGATTGTCTGATGAGATAAACATTCAATGGTATGAGAAGAGCACAACAGAACAGAATCTGATTTTTATCTTCAAATAATTTCTTGATCTGGGGGGTGTTTTACAAAGATCCTTAGTTGGACTAATAAAATATATTCAAAAGCGAAAAATCAAGTAATTTTGACTTTTTATAAATTCCACACCAAGAACATGAAATCTCCCATGATAATAGAAAATATGAATGATTTGAATCAACATTTTATGCCTTTTAAGATAACTTTTGCAAAATATTTTTCATAGATGCCAAGCCTACATCAGCTCCTTCTTCCCCAGAACTACCAAGGACTGGAACAACCTTCCAGTAGATCCAGCCTGCTCACTCTCCCTTGAGGCATTTAGGTCCTCACTGGGAAAGAAGCACCCCTAAATGCCCTCACAGGATTAAAATTTTTACTCGCACCCTGTACATATATGCACAAGGATCCTGGCCAGCAGGCTCACACAGGCTCCTCACATACACAAACAGTGCGCAATCTTCAAGGACCCTAAAGCAGTACTTTTCTTGGAAGAAGAAGAAGAATTGTTAAGTCCAACTTAGAGATAAGTTCAACTTAAGATATTTATGAAACACCCCCCTGGTATGAAAGTGTTCTCACCTCCTCCTCAACTTTACTCATTGACTGAGATCAAGACAGGCATTAAAGTCACATCATACACTTAAGCCCTTCTGGCTTTCACCAGACTATCATCTACTGTTTTCTGGTATAATAGAGTTGCTACTCTCTCCTCTTAAACCTATATCACCTGCTGACAGCAAGGAGGGCATTAAAGTCACACCATGCACTTAAGCCCTTCTATCCTTCAGCAGAGGGTATTATCTAATTCACTATGAACATGACGGACAAAGAAAGAGGACAAAATATACAGTTCTTCATTCTACCCTCAACAATTGCTGTGGTAGACAAAGGAACATCCCTTCACTGCTATTATGTAAAAATGTGTAGAACAGGTGAATATGCATGTGACACCTGTGTTCTACACATTTTTACATAATAGCAGTGAAGGGATGTTCCTTTGTCTACCACAGCAATCGTTGAAGGTAGAATGAGGAACTGTTTATTTTGTCCTCTTTCTTTGTCCGTCATGTTCATAGTGTAATGTGTTCTAGTATAATAGAGTTGCTACTTTCTTCTCTGTAAACCTATATCACCTGCTGACAGCAAGGAGGGCATTAAAGTCATCATCATACAGTTAAGCCCTTCTATCTTTCAGCAGATAGTATTATCTACTACCCTTCTCTGATATAGCTGCTTATCTTGTTGAGCTACGCCTGTGTCTACGCACTTTGGTTTGTCTCACGTTGCTTGACTCTTGAAGTAGCATTTACATGCCTTACCAGTCCTTCCGAGTGTCCGGTTTCTGTCAATCTGTTCAACACAAAATATATATGATGTATTAAAGACCGCCATACACTTTATTATAGCACCGATACTAACTGACCAATTTGAAAAGGGAATTTATGAACTGATCACAAACTAAAAATAAATTCATCACTTTCTTATTGTAAACCCACTTTGTTCATAACTTTCACCATATTTTTTGCTCTGAATTTTCTACTTTCATTCAAAGCAACTTGCTATCAAGGTTTCATGTCGCCTTAACCTATTATATTATCATGTGTTTCAACATGTTGCATTTATCTTTTCATGGGACAAGTGTTCAATCAAGGTGCATGTTTGTTGTTCAACTTGATACAAATTGTAGTGTTCATGCAATTACACTAAAAAAGAAAGTGTGATGAAGCAACTGAGAACGGTTGATTATTTAGCAAATACAAAAAATGATGTGTAGAGTGAGGTCTGGAAAGATCAAACTTAGAAGAAATTGACCCAATCTCACCAGCACACGCACTCCACACAGAAATGGGTATAAGGTACTACATACATATACACGTACTATGAAAGTTTTGTTCAGACACTTGTGCTATTTCTTGTCATACTATGAATATGAGGGCATTTTTAGAGCAATCCTTAACAGGAGACATTTCTCCTGTGATATTCTTCCAAACTGGCAATTCAAAGAACGAGAAAGCTCACAAATTATTTGTTACCTTTATTTTTTATTTAACCTTCATTTTATATGCCTTCTGCACTAGTTTGGCCAGGGGGGATTAGACCTCCCTACAAGGTCACTGACAGGTGGTTATCTCATCAAATCAGCTCTCAATTAACATAAGAAAAAGGGGATCATGGGGGACCAACAGGCACCGATTAGGCATTGTTTGCTATATAGAGGGCGCAAGTAGCTATACGTAGTGCAGTGGGGCTTTAAATGAAGGGATGAGAGTGATATACTTACACCTCATCCATCTCAATCTCATCCTCATCTTCATCATCGGATGGAAGTTGAAGGTAAGGATTATCCGTACCAGGCCGAAACTTGTAAGCCGTCAATACGTAGAAGACGTACGTTGCCAATTCAAAGAAGAACTCGTCCAACCACATGAACTGGAATGGCATTGTTACCTGATAGTGCGAGAGATCAAAGTCCAATCAAAATTCTGGTTCCTTTTTTTCTTAACACAGTAAAAACCTGTCTATAGCGACCGCCCAAGAAAAGGCTGATCATCTAGCATATAAGTATTGGTATGTACGGCAAGGTTGTGGAATCATCAAAACGAAAAGAAATTTGGCCCAGTCTTGGTAAAAGTAATAAGCACTGTACACAGAAAGATGTATATGGGACTACACAATCCTGTGGCATAAAAATGTAGTCCTCATTTTTCAGCTGTTACATGTCATATATAGAATATGAAGGCATTTCAAGAGCCATGCTTTTAAGGGAGCAATTTTTCTTTGATGTTCTTCCACACTTGCATACTAACAATGAAAACCCTAACAAATTATTTTTCACCTCTCCCCAGAACTCGACCTTCTCTTTGACTGTTTAGTATAGCAACATCTCTAACTGACAAGGTTTGTTGTGCTTTTTGGTCAAAGGTGAGAGCCTGTTCCTCTAGCCCATTTTGAGCACCAACATTTTCTTTTTTATCTGCTCTCACATTTTCAATTTGTCTGATAAATGTCTTCTTACCTTCAGGATATAAACGACTATTCTGGAAAAATAGATGTAGCACACCACCTGTAACAGAGAGGATAACAGTTTCATAAACAGATACCAGAAAGATATTAATATTAAAGCAATATTTATTGCGTATAAAGATAGTAGCAGCTGTAAATACATTTCTTATAATGTAATTTTGACACTGGGTACTAACATTATTTCAGATAATGGAAATCAATGCCTGGATCAAATTTTGATCACACTTCTAACAAAATTTTACATCCAACATTTGAATTCATCATAAAAGTTTTATATTCAGACTATTCCAGATATATCGATAAACAGTACACATTGTTCTATAATGAAATATATCAAATTGTCAAATTGGTCGGGGCTCCACACTTACTTTTTTTTAAAGATGTGTGTGTGTGTAATTGGGTTTTTACAGACGTGTATCAATCAGATATGATTATTTACGTCTGGGACCGACCTTTAACGTCACCATCTGAAAGACGTGACTCAGTTTCGAACCGGGGTCGCCTGAGCCAGTTTGTTGGCGAAGACAGAGAGCTGGACCAACTCACATCTCCGTAAGTGGGTCCGGATTGATCATTTTAGAGTTTGTATGAATGAGCGCTATGGAAAAATGTCACAATCTGGGGGGGGGGGGGTCTGGACCTCGACTTTGAGTGCCCACATGTCCTGGGGGCCTGTTAGTGTCTAGCCCTGCATTGGTACTAGAGATTTCAATGTACAAGATACTTTCTGACGTTGGTCTCTTGAATGCCAGCTATCGTTATGCCTCTGTTACTAACTCCATTATAGTGTTGTCGTTTCAGAGGTACCATACATATACATGTATTCGATTGCGTTCTAGGCAGCTAATTGGGTTACAGAATAAACACAAAAAGTCCTAAGAATAAGTTTTTACTCATTTGTGTGAACCAGATTCTACATCCAGGTACGGTGGTTGAGGAATAAAAGTAGATGTTGACACTTACCAAAACATAATAGGACCTAAAGAGCTTCAGTTTCACCAGACTTATGGCTGCTGTAAAAGAGAAGAAAATTCAAAAAAGAAAAGAGAAGTCTTAGAAAATGGGAATTGTTAGTGAGGATAGAATGAAGCAAAAGATCATTAAAGGAATTATTGAGTGTAAATGGGGTTAATTATCAGTTTGAAAGTTTATTAAAAGACAGAATTAATAAATGAGAGGTATAAACGAAGTTCACAGTGGTAAGATTAAGCGATTAGGCGCACAGCATGAGAGGGAGGGTAGGTGGATGAATGACAACTTGAGGAATCAGTTAAAACCAATAAGTGAATGAATGATGAAGTGAAGAACTGAATGAATGAATGGGTGAATGAATGGGTAGGTTTATAGTGTTTAAAGGTAAAGACCAGTTATGGTCATGCGATTGCATTGTGAAAGAAACGTTGTGGAATCGATCGGAAAAGGTTGATCATCTAGCATCTAGCATCTGCAAGGTTCTGGAATCATCAAAATGATAGGAAATTTGGCCCATTCTTCATAAAGTTACAAGCACTATACACAGAAAGATGTATATGGGACTACCCTATACATCTCACAGACCATGAGAGAAACAAATTTACCAAATATATGAATTAGTAGGCGGTTTCCCGGCAAATTTTTTATCATCATGTATTAGTCAAAACATATTCTTTCACATGATTGGTAATGAGAGCTTCCATTTCATTTTTTGAAATTGGGGCGTTTCCAATACTGGTCTTTACCTTTAACATGAGGTATAACTGAATGAATAAATGTATGGGTACATAAATGAATTTTGAAATGACTAAATGAACGTTTGAATGCAAACACATAGGAGGGAAAGATAGTGAGGGCAAATAAGTGAATGAATGCATGAACTAAACAATTATATGACTGAGGATGCTGTCGAGCATCATAAATTAATCCAGCATTCTGTTTTCAATAACTTCAGTGCAGTGTGGTCTTAAAATTATAAAAACACAAGAAATGCCCTTGATCCCTCATTTATACAATAACTTTAAGTATCTAATTGATAGTCCTGCACAAAAGATTAAGCTATTTGTACCCCAGTCTCATTAAAAAAAAATGTTATACAGAACTCAAAGGTTTGAATAAATTTGGAATCAAAAGATTTGTACACATTTTGGATATGGAAAATTATGAAGTACAGTACAGACAAAAAAAAAAACATTAATATTTGTTTAACTACCGGTATCTACAAGAGGAAGAAAAATCACAGCAAAATTCATCTTCACATATCACTAGGGTCATGCAAGGTAATTGGAGCTCATTAAAAAAAAAGCTTTCAAGATAAATCAGTCTCTAATTTACTCTCTTCTTCATTTTCACTGTTGGGATTGATGGTAGATGAGAGTGCTCTTACCTTTGCCGTCTGTCTGTGCTGCATCCTGGAGATGGCGTATGGACCATATGACGGGATAGAGGATAGCACCGCAGCAGATGATATCTACCGTAACAAACATGACCTTCCACATAGAATACTGTGCTTCTCCTTCCTCAGACGTGTCGGTGATGATGTACGCTACGTTGGCAAAGATCTACAGGGAAACAAACATGTAATTATTAAGGTGATGAATGATTTTTTTCACAAATGTGTGTAAAACCCTTGTACATGAATGCGAACGGTCATGAAATCTGATTGTGTTCATCATTTGAATATAGTCAACTTGACATTAACGACTTTCATTTTTTGAAACACACAATCTAAATGTGTGACAGGAATGAGAAAAACAATGAATTGAGAGCGGAGATATAATATATGTGTTATTACCTCTCATTAGTCTATCAATCCATTTCAGGAGAGAAAAAGAGAGAGAGAGAGAGAGAGAGAGGGAGACAGAGAGAGAGAGAGAGAGAGAGGGGGGAAGAAAAAACTGCAAGGCAGACTAGAATAAAGAGTACCTTGCTATTATCAAATGAAATAAAAATAATTTTGATAAAAAGTGCTTTAGGCCTTCTACAACCCACAACCAACATACGGTTTAACACTAAAGGTTGCAATAAATCACAAAAACTCAATGCAAAACAGTTTTCAAATTGACAGATGCAATAGAATATCTTTATTGAATTGATAAATTGAAGCCAAATGAGATACAGGGCAATGATATATTATATGGTGCCCTCTCATGCTTATTTCTTTTCTAATGCGCATTTCTCCTTCCTCATCTTCTTCTCAACCCCACATGTCATGCAGCTCATCATTTTGTATTATTTTCAGTACTCCCGATATTTCACTTCTTTTTTGGCATTGTCTACTCTTTGTATTATGACCCTGTTCTCCTATCTTTGTCATGTAAAGTACTGTCTTGTCCCGTTCTCGTCTCTGTTGGCATCTCCCCCCCTTTTTTTATCCTATTTTGTAGTTACAAACTTATTAATTTAATTACTCATTACTCAAGTATCATTGTCCACACTTGAACAAGCATCACTTTTAAGTGGACCCCCCTGTTTCCAATATGTATTCCTAAATTGTTTGTAAATGTTTATAATTGATTTGTAATGTTTTGTTAGAAACATAAATAAATTGAATTGAATAAATTTGAATGGTGTGGTCTGCATGATCAGAGCTGATCAGGGACCCGTTTCACAAAGCCTTTTTTCAATGACAAATAACAAAAATCAGTGACAAATCTGCTGATAACCAATCAGAAGCAAGGATTTCAGTAGCAATATAAACTAGATGGAATTCGACTGCGCGCAGTCGAAAATGATGCCTCCGTCATAGAGCAATTTTACAAACCAAAACAGAAGACATTTTTCGAATTCAAGTTCAATTGTAATCCATTAACAGGTTCTCAGAATATCGTGATTACAAGCAATTTCTCATATACATATATGACCCTTTGATCTTTGACCTCATGACCCTAAAATCTACTCAGTTCATTGGCTCTGCAAGATGTCCTGAGTTAAATAGTAATCCATCTGTCAGTTCTAATGAGAATGTGTTCACAAGCTATTTTTGCATACATAATGAGCCCATGACCTTTGACCTTTGATCTTATGAACCAAAAATCTACTCAGTTCATTGGCTCTGCAAGTAACATACATGACCTAATTTTGGCAGGAATCCATCAATCGGTTCTTGAGAACGCGATCACGAGCTGTTTTTGCATACATAATATAATGTGCGTTGTGGCCTTTGACCTTTGACCTCATGACCCCAAAATCTAATCAGTTCATCTGCTCTGCAAGTAACATACATGACCTAAGTTTAGCAGCAATCCATCAATCGGTTCTTGAGATAACGCAATCACGAGCTGTTTTTGCATACATAATGTGCGCTGTAGCCTTTGACCTTTGACCTCGTGACCCCAAAATCTAATCACTTCATCGGTTCTGCAAGTAACATACATGACCTAAGTTTGGCAGCAATCCATTACTCGGTTCTTGAGATAACGCGATCACGAGCTGTTTTTGCATTCATAATGAGCCCTGTGACCTTTGACCTTTAACCTCATGACCCCAAAATCTAATCAGTTCTTTGACTCTGCAAGATACATACATGACCAAAGTTTGGCAGGAATCCATCAATCGGTTCTTCAGATAACGCGATCACGAGCTGTTTTTGCATACATAATGAGCCCTGTGACCTTTGACCTTTGACATCGTAACCCCAAAATCTAATCAGTTCATCGGCTCTGCAAGATACATACATGACCAAAGTTTGGCAGGAATCCATCAATCGGTTCTTCAGATAACGCGATCACGAGAACGGGACGTACGTACGTACGTACAGACGTACGTACAGACGTACGTACAGACGGACGGACGGACAACCCGAAAACATAATGCCTCCGGCTACTTCGTAACGGAGGCATAAAAAAATTGTCATTTGTCATTGATGACAAGTTCTGTGAAACGCCCCCCATATTTTCCATACTAACCTGAAGCGGAATAACAATCCAGAAGAGTTTCTTGTCTTGATCGGAGAGAATAGGTTTGATGAATGCCCAACCAGATCCAATCAGTACGATGGTTCCAAACAAGAGGGCGCCTTTAGTTCTGTAGAAAGAAATACATACACTTACATTGAAGCACTGATAGCATATATAGTCAAACCTGTCTACAGCGACCGCCGAAGGGAAACACAAAAAGTGGTCTTTGTAGACAGGTTCCTCAGTACATGTTTCAATGAGAAACCATTTTCAAGGGAAGCATAACATGTAGTACAGCGGATTAGCTCCCCATATAACGAGAATTGTGCACTTTTTGATAAAAGCATGAAACTTCTAGCATAGTTAGTTTAGACCATAAGATTCATTTTCAGATGTGGAGGGAAGTCAGATTTGACCTCTGATGACCCTGAGAGGTCAAATTCAAAATGGCCGCCAGTCCGCATGGTCTAATGTACAAACACGCTTAACTTTTGAACCAAATAGTCCAGAAAAACATTTAAGGTGTCGTTTCCAACTAAATTGAGGATGCCAATGCATTTGGTAATACTTTTGAGATCGCCAGATTTCGGGCTTTGGCATTTAGGTCAAGGTTAAGGTCAAAATTGACTAAAAATAGCAAGTTTTCAATGTTTACAACGAAACAAATCCCATTTATTTGTCATTTGTTCGCTCCTATGTTCTCAAATTTCTTTAAGAGTGGTTCCCCTGCAGACCATGAGATTCATTTTCAGATGTAGAGCGAAATCAGATTTGACCTCTGATGACCCTGAGAGGTCAAATCAAAAATGGCTGCCAGTCCGCCGCATAGTCTAATAATTGTCCAAACACGCTTAACTCTTGAACTAAATAGTCCAGAAAAACGTTTAAGGTGTCATTTCCAACTAAGTTGGGGATGCCAATTCATTTGGTAATACTTTTGGGTACGCCAGAACTCTGGGCTTTGCATGAAGTCAAGGTCAAGGTCAAAATTGACTAAAAAAATAGCAAGTTTTGAATGTTTACAAAAAGTTTTCCCATTTATTTGTCCCCCTATGTTCTCACATTTCTTTAGGAGTGGTTCCCCTGCATAGTCTCCATCGTAATCCCTGTCAGTTAGTTTATTTCACTAATTATAGCACCAAACCAGTAGTTGTCTTGTAACTGACCATATGCATATAGCATGGTTAGTGGGCAGCTAGGCAGTATACGGTACAAACCTCAATTCAAGTCAGGGAAACTGCTCCTTTCCGTTACTGCTCAATAATACTGGTAAGATGTTCTTTAAGTTACTTTGTGTTTTATTAGGTTTAAGTAATTTAAATAATCGCTACAGAGTTTGAGGAACATGCCATAAAGCAAACTAACGTTTCTGCTAACACTATACAAACATCACCTTGACCAGCAACCTGGAGTGCAGGCAGCATTCTTGAGGGATGTGAACTTCTGACAGTACTGAAAGAGATGGGGAATCCATTTCTAGAACAAAGTCAAGACATACTAGTCATTGGCACAAGCGACATATCATGGACATCCAATTGGCTGAAACGGGGAGAAGGATTGAGACCCTAGGTGAGCAGTACACAAAGTTTGTGACAGAAAGGCTAGAGCAGTGTACGACACCTAGCTGTCACACAAACACTTCATACGAACAAGTTGCCATTTTTCAGTCGGCAGCCGGCGAAGGTTATATATATATGTTAAAACAGAAGGCACAGCTTGCAGCACTTAAGAGTGACTGTGGTCTCTTTTTGAGGATTTACATCTCGTGTCAGACAAGGGATGGAGATATGGACAATTTCTTCTCTCATGAAAACCAGGCAGTCCCGCCAGCTTTGTTAACTGGAGGTAAATGCGGTTTGGAGTTAAAGCAGATCTACTTCGCTGCCTGGAATCAAATCTGCTCGAAAACAATAGTGCACCTGTGGCCCAAGCAATAATTATTGATGGTGAAGCTGTGGTTCAAATGCTCAACCCTGGAACATCAAGAACATTTCAAGAGTATGGAGAAAAAGTGTTTGCCCCATACATCTTTGCTCAACTCGAGAAAAGCATCCGCATCGACCTTGGCTATGGTGTATACTTACCTGCTAGCCTGAAAGCCTCAATAGGGCAGGAAAAGGGAAAGGGCACCAGGAAAAGGGTGGCTCCTTCTATTTTGCTGCCAGAAAGCTGGAAGGACTTCCTTCGATTCAATGAGAACAAAACCGAATTGTTTGACTTCATGTCATGCGAAGCCGTTTACCTTCCTCTACCACAGGGCAAGGAACTGTATAATATGCAACAGATTGAAGTGGAGTAGTCTGCTCTGCTGCTGAGTCACACTTGGCAGGCCTTGTCCAATGGGTGTAAAAGGGTATCCATACGTATTGTTGGTACTGATGCGGTTGAACTGGCCGTGGCTTCATTTAGCAAGACAGCTCCTGATGCTGGGGATCGCTTTTGGTGTCAGATCAAGCTTTCGGTACAAGGCTTTTCATAAAATCATGACAGTTGCCACCATGAGTCTGACACAATGTATGACTCTTCCAATCTTTCATGTTCACCGGGTGCCACACTGTTTCTACATTCACAGGAAAAACTTAGAAGTCTTTCCCAGAGGTGAATGATTCCTTCAATGAACTCCTGTGCATGCCTAGGGAGGTCAGTGAAGGATCAATGTTACTGCCAGAGCGATTTGTGGTGCTAATACGACCGAACCAGTGAGAGCATGATAGTGAATGATGCCAGGAAACAGCTCTTCGCACAGAAGTCTAGAAACCTGGAGAACTTTCCTCCATCCCAGGCAGCACTCAAGCAGCACCTCAAGCGCACTTGCTACCAGGCCAACTGTTGAAACCAGATATTGGCCAAGAATCCAGAGATGCAGAGCCATCTGACTTGGGCTGGAAAAACGAAACAACTGGGTGGCAGCCTCTTTGGACCACTCTCCCGGAAGCATAAAAATTGTGGCATGAATAATCCACTGTCGCTGCAAGAAAGGATGCACTGAACTGTGATCTTGTTCTGGAGACTGTTAGATTTTGATCGTTATCATTAGGATATGCATAAGTTGTGGACAGTGCTAAATTCATGTAAATATCTATAGCTGTGGTTATGAACAGGTTTTAGGTCGTATTTGGAATAGCTTTTTTTGTCTTCTGGGCCCAATTTCATAAAGCTGCTAACCGGTAAGCAAATTTTCGTGCTATAACTGTAGCAGACAAATTTGGTTAGCAAGAAAACAAGGCGTCCACCTTGTACGTTCACAATGGATTGCATTGTTACAAAATTCATTTTCGTCCAGTAAGCAGCGTAAGGTTAATGCATTTTCGTGTGCTTACGGTTAGCAGTGCTTTGAAGTAGAAATTAATACGTAAGCACAGAACCAGCCGATAAGCAGCTCTATGAAATTTGGCCCTGGATAGTCAAAGTGGTGGTACACGGGTCTTTTTATTAATTTTTAAAATAATGAAACCTTAAGTGTCAAAATAGAGGCAAAGTTTATTTTAAAAAAGAAAACAGCACTTTTTTGGCCTAATATGACCTTTAACTTGACCTTATTGCAAATCCCTGAGTTCTGGCGATCTCAATGTATTACGTAATGAATTGGCATCCCCAAGTTAGTTGGAAATGACACCTCAAACGTTTTTCTACACTTTTTGGTTCAAAAGTTACCACGTTTGTACATTATACCATGCGGACTGGCGGCTATTTTGGATTTGACCTCTTAGAGTCATCAGAGGTCACATCAAACTGTTAAATAAACTAACTGAAAAGGATTAAGGTGGAGAACTCTGCAGGGGAACCATTCCTTAATAAATTTGAGAAGATAGCTAGGGAGAACAAATGACAAATAATGGGGATTTAACCTTCTGTAACCATTCAAAACTTGCTATTTTTAGTCAATTTTGACCTCGACCTTGACATAAATGCCACACCCTGAGTTCTGGCGATCTCAAATGTACTACCAGATGAACTGGCATCCCCAATTTAGTTGGAAATGACACCTTAATTTGTTTTTCTGGATTATTTGGTTCAAAAGTTACTGCGTTTATACATTAGCCCTTGCGGACTGGCAGCCATTTTGGATTTGACCTCTCAGTTTCATCAGAGGTCAAATCAAACTGAAATAGACTACCTGAAAAGGATTAAGGTGGAGGACTATGCAGGGGAACCATTCCTAAAGAAATTTGAGAATAAATGACAAATAAATGAGATTTAACCATTTGTAACCATTCAAAACTTGCTATTTTTAGTCAATTTTGACCTTGACCTTGACCTAAATGCAAAACCCTGAGTTCAGGCGATCTCAAAAGTATTACCAAATGAATTGGCATCCCCAAGTTAGTTGGAAATGACACCTTAAACATTTCTCTGGACTATTTGGTTCAAAACTTAAGCATGTTTGTACATTAGACCATGCGGCCTGGCGGCCATTTTGGATTTGACCTCTCAGGGTCATCAGAGGTCAAATCAAACTGAAATAGACTACCTGAAAAGGATTAAGGTGGAGGACTATGCAGGGGAACCATTCCTAAAGACATTTGAGAACAAATGACAAATAAATGAGATTTAACCATTTGTAACCATTCAAAACTTGCTATTTTTAGTCAATTTTGACCTTGACCTTGACCTAAATGCAAAACCCTGAGTTCAGGCGATCTCAAAAGTATTACCAAATGAATTGGCATCCCCAAGTTAGTTGGAAATGACACCTTAAACGTTTCTCTGGACTATTTGGTTCAAAACTTAAGCATGTTTGTACATTAGACCATGCGGCCTGGCGGCCATTTTGGATTTGACCTCTCAGGGTCATCAGAGGTCAAATCTGACTTCCCTCCACATCTGAAAATAAATCTTATGGTGAAAGCAAACTATGCTAGAAGTTTCATGCTTTTATCAAAAAGTGCACAATTTTCTTGCTAAGCCGCTGCACTAATGTGGTCCTTGTAGACAGGTGGTCTCTGTAGACAGGTGGTCACTAAAGCAGGTTCGACTGTACATATCTTCATACATGTTCAATAATTGGATACAAGGTATACCTTACAAGGGTAGGTGAATTAATGCAAGAAATGAATTTAAAAAATTGGATACAGTTTTCATAATAATCTAATATCGTAGGGTTATTTGGTATCAGCAAACTAATAGAAATGGTTCCTTTTCTTTTTCAGAAGCTGTTGTACTTAATTTGTATACAGCAGCAGAATAGAAAAAAGAAGCTCTTATGAACATAAAGAAAATTATTTTATATCTGTGGTGGTCATCCCCCCCCCCCCCAATAAAAGAAAGACACTTGACTGTGTATACCATTCACCAACAATCAAAGGGCTGTCGACCACCACTTGGTGAAACTTCCATCAGGTGTATGACCAAAAATAGAGACACCAGAATCAACAGTTATTTCTTTACAGCAGCTGTAGCTGTACATGTACTGTTTGTTCAAAACAAGTTAATAATTTTCATCCCCAAGTATCATATTGATGGTAGCAACAATATAAAAAGAAAAAAAGAAAAAAAGGAAAGCCTGGTGAGATCCAGAAGGGCAATACTCTGAAGGTCAAATGATGTGCCCTTCTGACTATAGGTAGATAAATATAACAAGTTGTTGAACTTACAAGTATGTGATGTAGAAGAGGATTTCAAATGCTTCCATAGGTCTACCATCCTTACCGATATAATGATAATCCACCTAGAAAAGGAAAAGGAACATGTTTATTTGTTTGGCAATACATAAGTATAGTAATAATTCTTAAGTTTCTGTTTTACTCAAAACAAATGGCAATCTTATATTTAATAACAATGAGATTGTAACTTGCATGCACATTAAATATACATAATACTTGTTCAGTTTATTCTTGTGCCTTATAAATCGTTCCTTTTATTAAAGTCAGAGCAAGACATCTTCTTATAGGCTTTAAATAATCCACAGTATCTAGTTTGTTTTTTGAGAAAATTGAGGCATTTTAGAAACTTTTTCATTTACACCTCGTTTCTATACCAACACGTGATCAATCATTCAACTATATAATGATAATAACTTTTTATTTTCCTCATACATGTACAGGATCTTTCTAGCTGCAAGTAACTGATGAAACATTTTACAGCGTATTATTACTATGGTCATTGGATTCAATTACGAATTTGCACTTATGTGTACACTTCTTACTTCAAATTTTTATGACGGATGCTCTGCAGTCAACGACCTACATTCTAAGAATTCTTAACGTTGGACAAGTATTATACCTAACCCTAACCCTAATCTACACCTTACCTTAAACCCTACTACAACCCGAACTCAAGCCCATATCTTTGACCACATAACCTATAGCAATTGTTGACAGAGTATGTGTCAGTTCCCACTTCATTAAGTGATAAATATATGCTCACCAACCAGTTAAACAGAAAGGTTTGAATATATGTGCATCTATAAACAAAACCTAAAGACAAAGACAATCATGTTATATACTCACAGCATGAAACATGAGTGACAGTGACTTGAGCAAGGCCAAGAAGAACATGAAGTAGTGTATCTTAAAGACGATCTCTTGGTGACAAAGGTAATAGATCCAGTAGATAGCCGAGCATAAGAAGAGAAGGGACATGGTGGCGTAGAGGGTGGGCAGGGGGATGTCTCCAGCGGATAGGTAGTTTGGCCCAACGTTCCTCTCCACGATTGAGACCTATCAAAACAGATTCACAATGTGAAGAATGATATTGTGATTCTCTTGTTAGCAACCATGAGAATTGGATTAACTACAATTTCAAGCTAGTAATGCTAATCAATGCTAATCAATACTAATCTGACATTACATGACATTACAAGACAGATATCTTCTAGGGGCATCATAGCTTATAACACACAAAAATGCTCCCTGCATGTAAATTACTTTGTAACACTGTTCTATTCAAAGTCAGGGGCATATACTATTTCATGATTTGCAGAATATCTTAAATGAACCTCAAGCCGCTCTTCCCTCCCCCCTCCCTCAAAAAAAAAATACCCCAAAAAATAATTAAAAAAAAATAAATCAATGTAAGTGTTTCATTTTAAGTTTTAGGATTTAATATTTTACCTGTATCTATATAAATATATATATGACGGCTTGGCTAAATAAAAACATCTTTTAGAATACTCACAGAGAAGTTGACAGGTTCTTTAGGATTGGTTGTGCAATGGTGATAGAAGAAGCTGTACAGACCCTGCTCACTTTTGTTCTTGATGCAAACTACAAACTGCATTGCATAAAAGTAAAGGTTTAACATAAGTAAACATGCCATATACTTACCGAATCTTTCAACATAATTTTATGATAACATAAATTTATCATCTAATTACACCTTTGAGGCAGCAAGATATCATATTCCAATTGGTATGCCATTCAAAGAGTTTTTGTGAAAGATCTACCCATTTTGAACAATGCAAATATATGTATGCTTCCTTTCTCAATTAAAGATGAAATTAATAAAATATATTCAAAGTATAATATTGAGATCAGCCAATGAAACTCATTTTCAAGAGTGACTGTCTAGAATGATTCAGTAAAGTTAATTGGGTAGTTAGTAATTATGAAAATGGCAAACAGTATTGTTTGGCATAGTGAAATGTACACAAAATATTAAAACTTGATATGCCTCCTCCTAAAAGGAACCATCACAAAAATGCACACATGTACCGGTACATGGGACGACACAGCTTCATTTAATCTTTCCACTTCAAAATGATAAATAGCAAAGTACTTCAAGAGTAAATCCTGATCGTATTACTTACACTTGTGTTGATGTATAAGATGTTATTTTTCCTCTCCATGTATGCTGGTAGGTTTATCAGATGTGTAGGTGCGCTGGTTGGCAAGGGAGTTTGAGTGACTTTTGCTTTATCCACTGGTTTTGCATTGGAATCGTTGGTTGGGATTTTTGGACCTGAATCTCCAGGATCTTTTTCAATTTCAAGTTGGCCCTGGCCCTTTTCTCCAGGCCCTGGTTTGACTGGGTTTAGTCCAGCTCCATCTAGACTATCAGGATCCTGTCTCCTTCGTCTTGTTAGAATCTGCTCCACCACCCCTGAGGGTTGTTGAGGGGCAGGTGGAGCTGGAGGGGCAGGTGGAGCTGGAGGATCTACATCACTGCAAACATCTATTCCTGCACGCATAGGTACTATCTTCAGATTCTTCAGTTTTGTACCCCATCTGTTGACTTCCAGACTTGAAAGAAAAATAATGAAAGGACAGACACAAAAAAGAATCAATCACAAGTTCCCTTTAATTCATGATTAAACAGATTAATAAAAGAAATTATTTGCTTTCATAGAAGAAAAAATTACAAACACGCATATCGCAGAATAACGAAGTATGGGGCAAATATATATGTGCTGTAATGTTGACTATTTGTCTTTCCATATTGTCACCTGTGTGTGTGTGTGTGTGTGTGTGTGTGTGTATTGGGTATTTACAGACGTGTATCAATCAGATATGATTATTTATGTCTGGGGACCGACCTTTAAACGCCACCATCCCAAAGACGTGACTCAGTTTCGAACCTGCGTCCTCGACTGAATCAGTTTGTAACTTCCAATTTTAGCTGGATTACAGGCGCACGCCACAATGCCTAGTTTTATTCCCTTTATTTAAAGGCAGGGGAGGGGCAACAGCCCTATCACCCTGTAGCTTAACTGGTGATATCACACAAATGTCCATTATTATAGTATTGTAACTAAAAGGACATCCACGCTCATCTAAACTTACCTTTTGGTTGTAAAATTTAAAGTCAAATAAAGTGTTGCCACAGAGTCATTCTTGCCAACGCTCCCAGGTTTAAGGACACAGTTGCCATTAGTGTGGTCTTCCTACATCAGAAAAACATGCAACGATACACAAAAGACATGTGTAAATAAACACATATTTAGTGTGAACAATTAACACTTAAAGGGACTTGGTAACATTGTTCAGATGAGAGAAAGTGGTGCTAAGGTAGTGACTTCAATGCTAGATGTACAATTAAAGATAATCTGAAAGTTTGAGTGAAAACGAACCATTATTAATGATATACATGTAAATTGGAAAAAACTGATCTGATCAATTCCATAATTCTCCCAACTATATTATAATAATTTGATTACAATTAATGTGAATGTATATCGTCACAAATTTATGCATTGCATTTGCTCAATATACCATTCCAGACATTTCACATTCCAGACAAGTGTTGACAGATTTGTTATAGCCTGTCTTAACTCTTATGTCTTTTTTTTCATGGAAAACGGTTGGGAAAATTCAAAAATTGTTAGGAAAATTCAAAAATGGTTGGGAGAATTTACTGTTAATTACTGTTAGAGGGTGTTGCACAGTAACACCTTCAATGAAAACCATAGATATCTTTGTGGTTTTAGAATTTTTTCAGGATTTTTTGCATGTTAGAGGGTAAGTACAGTAGAACTAGAAGGAATATAAAAAGTCACATTTATAAACAAAAATTATGCAATTTTTGATCAACTTTCAACAATGTTACCGAGTCACTTTAAGTATCATCACAATCTTTTATACAAAATGATTTCATGACCAAATGTACACAATTAAAACATACAGAAATAGACTGTGATATTTACATTAATCATTCAAAGTAATATGTACATGTACCTATGACAAAGCAGCTAAATGAATAGCAACCACTGAGCTATGTTATAACATACAGAAATGTGAAGTGTAAATACTTAAGTCATAAAAACCTGAAACAATTTTGCCGCGTTATTTCTGAAGGAGGCTTAAGAAATTTGTCACGGTAGAATACCAAGTGTCTTCTGCTTAAAATTGCTTAGCAAGACTTCAAAAAGAGAAACTGGTTGAATTACTCACAGCATAAGATGCACTCTCATAGCTTCCTGACATGTCCAATGTGAAGCCAATCAGTGTAGTCTTTTGAATCTGTGCCCAGGACTGTGTGTCTGGTACAGGAAAACTAAGGTTTGAGACATTGATTGACAGCATCCCGCCTTGGAGGAGGCCGAAGTTTGTAATCTCAATGTCTTTTCTCATTTCATTCTGTAAACACAAGAAAAAGAGAACATACATGTAATTATTAAGGTGATTAAATATACCACTTTAAATTGGACTGTATACCAGCATTCCTTGTGAAATATGAATCAGTACAGGGTCCATTTTTCTTGAGCAACTAGTTGGATACAGTCTTGCTAGATTTTAATCCTCAGAAAAATTCATCCATTTTATATGTACACAAACAATATTAGATTTACTGGATACTACAAAGGTACATTCATTGTTCTTTATGCTTATACTCTTTCCCTTTTTTCTAGTAATTAGTATGATCTACCATGCCCATGGACTAGCACCCCCCCCCCAACAATCCATACAATACTTATTGAACATGTTGATAGAAGTCTCTCAGGAATATGTGTATGGTCTATGGATAAAAGATTGCTGTAGATAAACATGCAGATAACAACTTGTGTTTAATGAATAGAGGATGGTTTTTATGATGATCCAACAATCTGTGCCTATCAGATTCTTCTTTTTTTTTTAAGAAGAAGGAGAAGGAGATAGAGAAGGAGAAGGAGAAGGAGAAGGAGAAGGAGGAGAAGGAGAAGGAGAAGGAGAAGGAGAAGGAGAAGAAGAAGAAGAAAACATTAAAACCAAAAACAATGTCAACGGTAATCTTTCTCTGGTTTGCGGAAAGGGCAATAACCTAACAACTTTAAAAGGGCTTTCAAAATGTTGACGTTTAGTGTATTTTAAAATAGTCGCTACTTAATAATAATAATAATAATAATAATAGCCTAATAGTCCACTCCAAATTTTATTAAACCGAAACGGAAATTCTTTTTGCCCAATTGATCGTGAGCCCGGCAGCCACTGAGCAGCGCCAGATCGACGTTGGCACCTGATCCTGCTCTCACACCTCTCTTTCCGACTGGATCAACCCCTCACTCTGGTGCTTGTTCAGAAACCTATCCAAAATTTGACCCGTAACTCCAGCGTGGAGATACCCTACTAAAACATACCCAAAATGAAGTAAATATTCATTAAATGTCCAAATAAAGGTAATGAGTTAAAATTTGTTGTTTACTTCCTGTTTTGTGTCAATTTTCTTGTTATTTTTTGGAGTATTTTTCGGAAAAACATTGATATTAGTATACATTTTTTCACAGGTTTCACGGCAAACCGCTGCACAATAAAAGTGACATACCGATGGTGGGTTGCGGGTGGGCGCGTACCTGTGTGAAGTTATCTACCATAATGTCTCAGATCCACGCCGGAGTTACGGGTCAAATTTTGGATAGGTTTCTGAACAAGCGCCCTCACTCTTTCACAATCTCTCTCTCACAGTCTCAGTTTCATACTTAATTCTTGACCTCCACGTTAAACACCACTACATCATCTACATGTATGTGATGCCACTGTAAACCTGCCTATCCTATATGTGTACTACCAACACCTGCACCAACTGCAGTTCTCCAAACTGGAGGAAGCCAAGCAAAGAAGAAGAAAACACTCCCTTAGGCCTTAACTTAAGGCTTATCTGCTTATGCCTTATGGCGGCGTGACCAAAGTTCGCGCGTGACCAAAGTTCGCTTTCTCAAAAAGTCGGTAAGATTTCGAAAATCTGATATCACCAATGGAAAGAGGGTCATAAAATTACCCAGAAACGAAATTTTCTTTAGAATTGGTTGCGAAATTGTGAAAATATTGACAAAAGATCGGCAAATTTTGCAGTTATTTGCGTCCATTCCGAAAAATTATCAACTTACCGATAAGGGTCTGGAAATCTTCATTTTGAGATCAGAAATCCTCAAAATTGTAAGTAAAGAGTGGTACTAACTGATTGTACGATATCTTGTCTTGCAAATTATGATATTACCTTATTTTTGATGGATCACATTTTTTGATAAATCAACTGTAAACCACCGTGCGTGAAGTTAGGTCTCATTGTTTTTACGACTTTTTTAGATGCAGCGCGCACGCACGATCGGACATCGAATTTTTAGATCGCGATATCTCCGAAATCCTTCGACGGTAAATTTTTCTTTTTGAACCAATCTGTAGTAAAAAACTTTGCCGTCCATTTGGTAATAATTGAAATAAATAAAGTTGTGTAGAATGTGAGAAATCATAGATCGAATATCACATTTTGTAATATGTTCTAAAATGTGCGCGAACTTTGGTCACCCCTTCATAATTAAGGTAGCCTAGACTCTAAACAAAACAATTAAAAATTAACAAACAACCACTAGAATCTAATTTGGATTTTAAAAAATAAGCTCTTGAAAAGCTTACGAGTCCTTCAAAAAAATTACGACTTAAGAGAAATGAATATATTTTTTCGTTTGTTCAAGAAAGTGAAGAAACTAAAAATTAAGAAAAAATAAATAAATCGCACCAAATCACCCACAAAACTCAACGCGTGGGACATACGTTGAAATGTAGTCACATATCACACCGGGATTAATACCGTAATATAATTCGAATTCGAGAAAAATATTGGTCGAGAACTTACGTGCAGAATCAAGTGATGCTTCCTACATAATATGAGTCCAATAAAATTTAGCCATAAAGCTAGAAATATGATTTTTGTAGCCATTCTGAGCGAACTTTATGGCAGATGCGACGTTCTCTCTTTCCAATTGTTGATGACGTCATAATACGGACTCTACATCGGATCTTAGTCTGCTTTTGCATTCCGAATAGTGAAAACATAAATACATTGTATAACGGATGTTTGGGTAATAATTAAAGAAATGATTATGATTACCTCTTAATCAGTATAGGAGGGTGATAATTACTTTAATTATAAAGCTCAAGAGAAATAGTATCAACGATAGTCGTAAAAGAACACATTCCTAATTTCCTAACAGAATAGGGTCTGAAAACGAGAATGTTCCTCTCAATATGCAACTGAGACGTGGAACCAAGTTCATGTGATTTCTATGCGTGGAGATCGAAACGAAAACATTACATTAGTCATCTATTAAATGTCGTTATGCTATCTCTCTTTAATGACTTATGTCACTGTGTAATTATTTCTTTCTAAAAGTACATGCTACTATACTAAAACCAATCTTTGACCAATTTCATGAAATAAGATTGATAAGGCGTAGTAGATACGGCAGGAGTGCCAAAAATAGATGGAAGAGAGAGAGAGAGAGAGAGAGAGAGAGAGAGAGAGAGAGAGAGAGAAAGTGAGAAGACGAAAGGACGAGAAAATAAAAGGGGAAAGGAATGTGAGGAGAAGAAGACTAACATTACATCAATGAATAGGAAAGCTTGGCAATATCAATTAATAGCTGGCATCAGGGATATTTGAATAATTACGTAACAATCTGCTCAGATCTTCCTGATCATAGCATCAATGAATGAATTGAAAAGGAAATGGTCCTTCCTTCCCCGGAGATCAAGGCATGCATAACTTCGTCTTTAATTTTTCGCCTGTCCACAAGACTATACTAGCTGTGTCTCACTGCTAATCTTTATTACATGTATTTTCTTCATGTAAAGACTTTCTGTTGTTGTTGTCAAAAAGACGTAGATTACCCCTGCGTTCAGACACCCCCCAAAAAGACGTCTTATGACTATACCGACACGGTATTATAGCTATACGTTGATTTTCTTGTGTCTGAACGCTTACTAGACGTATAACGGAACGTTAGGGTTTGGACATCGTTTCGAACTAGAATTTTTAAAATCTCTCTGTCTCACCCTGTCTACCTCTCTTGTACCTCTCCCTTTTGTAAGTCCCTTCCCCCCCCCCCCCCCCCCCAGTGAGAGGGGTGGGGTGGGGGTACTCGCCTTATACGTTATACGGGGATGTGACGCTGTACATAATCGGAGAGTAAGGTTTCCTCCCTGCTGTAATGGGTTACTTTTTGCAAAAATTCCTAAACATGACAGAGGTATGATTTTGTGTTGCAAAATCACTAAAAGTGCCCCCACTTTTCAAATCTTGGCCTTAAACATATGGGTTACTATTTTCTTTAGGATTATATCTCACCCATATTAATCTCGCTAAAGTGAGTATTATTCCAGATGCAAAATCCAGCAAAAATATTTGAACCCATTTGCGCTTTTTTCAACCAAAGTCCCCTAATAATAGGAACTATTTTCTGCCTTAAAAATGGGTATGGGTTTAGACGCTTCAGCCGCACACCCCGTCCAAACCAAAACTGAATCCCCCAACCCCACCCCTCCCCCCCCCCCCACAAAAAAACAAAAAAAATCCGGTTTGTGACTGAGCTTCCCCCCCCCCTTTTTTTCTCTTTCTCTTTCTTTCTCTCTCTCTCTCTGTTTCTCACTCTCTCTCTCTCACTCCCTCTTTCTGTCCCTCTTTGTAACTTTTATGTCTTTCTCTTTCCCTCTCCTTTTCTCCCCCTCTCTCTCTACCGTTGTCTTCCTTCCTCTCAATCTCTCACTTGACTCCTGACGTCTCCTTTGACCGTTTAAACATTTAATGCTGCTTATTTTCGAAACTATCGTTCATGACATCTGAAGAGAAATAATTGATGATCAATACATATTTCCTTTTCATTTTAATTTTTGAACTTTATTGAATTCATGATAATTATATGAATACAATATATAATATAAATGCTAATTACATTATATACATTTTATCTCAGTTAATGATACATAAATATCAGTTACATAATTATTACTTTCTTTTACTATGTTTTTATTTTACTCAAATTATAAAATATACATTCTGGCTGACATCAACATAAAAATAATATGACCTAAATGTCACTATACTCCTGTATTAAATAAACTTATGAATATATATATAAAATTACTCTGAGTAACTTTTGTGTATCAGGTTTGTCCTGCCGATATTATAAGTATTTTACATAAATAGTGTATATTGTAGCCCAAATAATATAACAAATAATTATTTTATACACATCGCCAGTAATACTTTACACAAATTATTTGACAGTACTGTATTCAAGACAATGTTTCATGTACAAAGAAAAAATATAATATACAGAGAGGTCGATTATAAAAATTAATACATAGAAAATGAATGAGGACGCTGATGATAACGTTTACAACATTATAAAGATCACTTCTATCTTTTTAAAAGTGACACCACAATTGAATATGATTATCAATCTTTTCTTTTTATGCAAGATATTAAATGAAATATACATATCATCAACACAAAAAGTATTTTTATCATTTTCTTTTCTTTCAATGGAGATGTATAGGACAAAAAATGATATCATTTCAGTTATTTGACACAGAGTCTGGTAACTTTTCATTTTTAAATCAAACGTTCTTTGCATGTGTTGCTGATTTTGAAGATACATGTATATATTTAATTAATTGCATTGTTGCCAAAAAATTGCTTTTTAATGAATGCAATGTGATAAGTTTTGTGTGATAGCGTGAATTTCCATAGTCCATTAGAAATAAACTTTGAATAATAAATAGAACAAAGTGGTATCTAGTCCATCTCCTCAACGGTTGGCCCTCCACTGCCTGCTGAAGATGGGTTGGCTTGTGGTCCCGGGTGACCTGAGCTACTACTAGCGTGTAATTTAGCCATGATAGGAGAGCATGTCTTCTGCAACTCTTCCAACTTGAACGAGAATTCTTCCTTGTTTGCCAAAGAGTTGTTATCCATCCAAGTAATGACGTCATCAACTGCTTTTGTTACGACTTCCTTGTCGCTGGAGCTAAGCTTGCTCTCTACCGATGCGTCATTGATTGCGGACTTGACGTTGAAGGCATAGCTCTCGAGTTGGTTCCTGACGGCGATGCGTTCCCGCTGAGCATCATCTTCGGCCTTGAATCTCTCGGCATCGTTGATCATGCGATCAATGTCTTCTTTAGATATCCTTCCGCTGTCGTTGGTGATGGTGATCTTGTTGCTACGACCCGTGCTCTCGTCCTTGGCAGTGACGTTCATGATGCCGTTGGCGTCGATGTCGAAAGAGACTTCGATCTTAGGGACGCCTCGAGGTGCAGGAGGGATACCGGATAACTCAAACTGGCCAAGTCGATTATTGTCTTTGGTCATAGCTCTTTCTCCTTCAAGTACTTGGATGGTGACGCCTGCTTGGTTGTCAGAGTACGTTGTGAATGTCTGGGTTGCCTTTGTTGGGATTCTTGTGTTCCTCTCAATGAGCTTTGTCATCACACCTCCTGCTGTCTCAATTCCAAGAGAGAGAGGAGCCACATCGACTAGAAGAACATCTTTGATTTCTTCGCTCTGGTCGCCAGAGAGGATAGCAGCTTGGACAGCAGCACCATAGGCAACAGCTTCATCAGGATTGATAGACTTGTTGAGATCCTTGCCGTTGAGGTATTCCTGGAGAAGCTTCTGGACCTTCGGGATTCGTGTTGATCCACCGACAAGTACCACGGTGTCAATCTTGTTTTTGTCGATCTTAGCATCAATGATGGCCCTCTCTACGGGTTGCAAACACTTTCTGAAGAGATCTGAACACAGCTCCTCGAATCGTGCTCTGCTGACATTGGTGTAGAAGTCGATGCCTTCGTGGAGTGAGTCAACTTCGATGTTTGCTGAAGCACTGCTTGACAGTGTTCTCTTTGCTCGCTCCGCTGCTGTGCGGAGGCGACGAAGCGATCTTGGGTTGGACCTCATGTCTTTTTTATGCTTTCGCTTGAACTCCTCGGCAAGATGATGGACTAGTCTGTTATCAAAGTCTTCTCCTCCGAGATGAGTGTCACCGGCTGTCGACTTCACTTCAAACATCCCATCATCGATGGCCAGGATCGAGACATCGAACGTACCACCACCGAGATCGAAGATGAGGACATGTTGCTCCCCCTTCAGCTTCTTATCGAGTCCGTAGGCGAGGGCGGCAGCGGTGGGCTCGTTGATGATTCTGAGGACGTTGAGCCCTGCGATCACACCTGCGTCCTTCGTTGCCTGTCGCTGTGCATCGTTGAAGTAAGCGGGAACAGTGACGACGGCATCGGTGATCTGCTGGCCAAGATAAGCTTCAGCTGTTTCCTTCATCTTGGTCAAGACCATGGAGCTGATTTCCTCTGGTGCCATTGTCTTCTTTTCTCCTATGTACTCTGCCTGTAGCACCGGCTTGCCTCCTTGGTTGATGACGGTGAAAGGCCAGTGCTTCATGTCTGATTGCACGTTGTCGTCTGTGAATCTCCTCCCAATAAGACGTTTGGCATCAAAGATTGTGTTCTTGGGATTCCTATAATAATATTAGAAATTAAAGAATAGGTCAATGTTAGTTGCAATTGAGATTTAAAAAAAATAAACAGCGGTTTGATGGTTAGTGATCACAGTCTATAATAAGGAGTGAAAGTTCATGGAATGGCGCTATTGTTAAATTTGAATTTGATAGTAGAAGTTTATGAACGCTACTGAGTTTATAATCTGCAATGAATTTTTATCACACTTGTTTGGATTTCGATTATGATCATAATTCATGTAGTCTAATGTACAATTGGAAAGATCGAGCTGTCCCTAAAGAGTCAACTATCTAAGGCAACAATAAAGACATGAAGATTTGAAATATTTTTACAGTAATTAGCAGTTTGCATCCGCAAATAAAATGATGCATAAAATAATTTGATTGTATAGTTGGTTATAAACGGGAAAATAATCAAAAGGGTTGTAATGAATGTTAATTTCAATATACGAAAACATTATAGGTCTATTTTTCATTATCATGTTTTGTCAAATATCTTTTCAAACATGTAAGAGAGGTGGCAGAAGAGAAACATATTAAGACGATAACATTATTTTTAAAGATTAAAAACATCACATACTGTTGCTCCCCGTTCATGTAAAATAAAGGTTTTATCCTGTACAATACTCATCATAGCTTTATAAGCGGAAATTAATACACAAGTCATATTCAAAACGAATTTGTTCGAATTCTGTCATCCACCATTTAAAGTTAAGTATAAGAACCTTCCAACAGTCAAAAAATCAATAAATAAAGTTTCTCAATTGAAAAAAAAATCGGATGGGCAGAAACTTTCATATATACTTACATTGCCACCTGGTTCTTGGCTGCATCACCGATCAATCTTTCTGTATCTGTGAAGGCAACATAACTGGGTGTGGTCCGGTTTCCTTGATCGTTAGCAATGATCTCCACCTTTCCATTCTGAAAGACTCCAACACAAGAATAGGTGGTACCCAAGTCAATTCCAATCGCTGGTGCTTTTCCTGGTGCCATTTTATTGTTCTCTTTGAAGTTTTCAAATGCAAAATAATGTTTCCGATAAAGATGCAATGAGTGCTCTTGTCTGTAGTCTCAAGTCCTTAGTTTGTAGAATAACTTCGTAGGTGAATTACTTGCTTCAGTTTTCCTCTCGGATTGTCGTGTGAACTGCGACTTGTCGAGTTTCGAATTGAAGCCCGACTGCCGATGAGCCGGGTTATATGGTTCAGACGCCAGCTTCACCAAGATACGAGAAGGTTCTAGTGTAAATGTGACGTAGCAACCTTCGGGGAAATCCCCGATTGTTCTCGATTGTGCGTTGGTCTGTGCAGTGCATTCGCCCAACTGACGTATGACGCCATGTAAGACTGTGCTCCCTTCTCTGTCAACGATTGCGGTGTGCTTTGGAGCGAAGAATGTCAAAGACATGACAACGTTCAATCTCGATTGTCTGCTCGCTTTCTATGTTCTCAGGGATATTTTCCTTCATGTTATGAGTTGAACCCCGGGTTGAACCTTGATTATTCTGGAAGAAAGTAGCAATATTGCAACCAGCTGAAGTAAACAGATTAGTAATAAGCCTGTTGAGGAGTCCATGGCCTTTTTAACGATTACGAGCGCCATCGTATCAAACCTATTTCTCGATCTGTGGAGGAAGACAAAAAACGGATATTCACAACCGATCCTGTGATTCCATGTAAATATCTTTGGGCAATAAAATAATTCAAAAGTAACTTGTTGCCAGCGTGCCCTTTTTAGAAAAACAAAAACAAAAGAAATACAAATTGTAAGTAAAGAAATATTTAAAAAAATCACCCTCTACCGACTCCTGCAACATTGTTCTTGTGATATTTATGGTGGATTTTAATCCAAAATCTGCTTGTTTATCGTTGTTTAACAATTTGTGAGCAGACTGCAAAAGAAATCGATTACAAATAAAATCAAATTATGAGTAGGCCTACGCTGTAGAATGAAAACAAAAATTAATGCGTGTTAATATTTTCAAATGGTCAATCAACTGACAAAGTGTCGAATGTCATGACCAGTGTTGGTAAAATTGACTCTTTTCTCATAATTTATATTTTAAAACGGAAAGGGAGATGAGAAAGGGAAGAGAGAGAGAAGGGGAAGAGAGAGAGAGAGAGAGAGAGAGAGAGAGGGAGAGAGAAAGAGAGGGGTCGAAAGAGAGGGGAGGGGTAACAGGCATAATTATTCACATTTGAAATTCTTTTACGTCTGCTTTTATTTACGTAGGCCTGTTCTTATTTCTTTCTATTTATCAAACTACATTATTATGCAGAAATTAAAAATTAACGATGGTTAGATTTATTTTGAAAAATGAATAAGTCAATAAGAATAAGTACCTAAATATAAATGATATGTTCACTCAGGGCATTAAAGTCTCACCTCCCTGGTTCACTGAAGGTTTCTGTCACAGTGGCAGAGATTGATTTCTTCTCGTGTAAATGCCTACCCACGATACAGTCAATCCACCATACAACATACATTCCTAGAATTATTCAGACTGTACTACTATTGTTTGCTTATGACGTGTATTGAGGATTCACCAATGCACGACGCTTATTTGCCGAGAAGAGAGCACAGTCTACTACGACGTCACAATACAGCCGTGTCACCGCGAACGATCGAGAACAATCTGGGATTTTCCCTCTTTCCTGTTTTGCCCTCGCGGCCTCGTTGTTTACTATTCTCCTACTGTGTTCACACTCGAAGCTTCTCTGCCTGGAAGCTTCTCTCGACGCGGTGTTTGGTGCTATATAACCCGGCTCATCGTTTCTCAAACTCCAATTCGAATTTCGACTTCTCACAGTTCAGACGACTCTCTGAGAGAAAAAAGAAGGCTGATATTTTCAACTGCAAAATTCTTCTACGAGATTGTTCTACTTCTACAGCCGTTTTTGGACCAGAATTTTTGCTAATAATTTGTTAAAAGAAACGCAGGTATTTGCAGACAGTTTAAACGGTAAAACGGTTTAACTTTTAGAAGAACTTAATTTGCATTTTGAACGGTTTTTCATCAAAAACTTATAGAAGAACAATAAAATGGCACCAGGAAAAGCACCCGCGATTGGAATTGACTTGGGTACCACCTATTCTTGTGTTGGGGTCTTTCAGAATGGTAAGGTGGAGATCATTGCTAACGATCAAGGAAACCGGACCACACCCAGTTATGTTGCCTTCACAGATACAGAAAGATTAATCGGTGATGCAGCCAAGAACCAGGTGGCAATGTAAGTAGATTATTACATTTTCTATGTTGACAAAAGTGTTTACCTAAAACTATGATTAAGGAAATATAATTTCAATGACGGGTGTTGTTGCTTCACAATATTTTTTATGACGGATGGCCAAATTCAAACAGTTTTTGTTCTCAAGAAATTCTGTTTATTTTAACAGTGATTATGAACAACAATGCGTTTGATTTTTGTCATTTCGCATTTCAATGCAATTTGGAAATCACATTTGTTCAATCTGTTTCACTCCAGACATATTCAGCCTGTGATCTTCATATTCATTTAACTGTTAGAAAATAAAATGACCATCTTTGTATGAACATAATTATATTCTTTCCAGTTGCATGTTTCCAGGCGTGAAATTGTGATAATTTATAATTATGCACCAACATTTCATGACTAGTTCTAAAATGTTTGTATTGCTTTAAAAAAACATGTAATTACCTATTATTTAATTGGACAAAAACACCTTACGCTTGTATATTAGCTAATTAGTATTTACAACGGACTATACCATATGAGTCAAAAACAAGTTTACACCTAGAAAATTGCTAATTATTTTTAAAATCATCTACGAACAGTAAATTATTATACATCTTATGAAAGAGTGTTTAATCCCAAATCATTTGGTTTCACTTTTGTGTGGTATGTGTTCATGCTTGAGGCATTGTTTGCGAGAGTGCAAAAATCGACTTGCGCCAAAGTGATGCCTACTGTATGTATTAATATGTTGGGATTAGCGGAGTGCAGAGAATGAATTGAATGTATCAAATGAAATGCATTGCATATGCTTTTTGCAGAAGCAAAGTCACCTACACACACGCGCCCACAAATGTTTCGTTGATATTGATATACGTTATTTTATATGTGTTGCATGATCAATTTTGTTAGGGATGTTATTTGGATCTGCAAAGACAGAATTAATACCCAAATCCCGATTGTTTAATTCAAACATCACAATCATAAGCAACTGAACAGAGAATTATTTCAATCTGGACTTGGGTAATCCAGATTCAAATCAAATTACATGCCAAATCCTTATAATTTTTTTTTTTATAGGGCTTATAGCCTCCACTGCTTTGCTTTTCTCATGGTATAGCCAACTATCACCTCCATCACACTTTATATGACATTTTCGCTGTATATTTAACTTTCTCATTTTCTCTCCTTCGCTTTCCTCATTAAAGTATTTATGAAATCACTAAAAGTAAATTCTCTCTTTCTCATGCAGTAGTAGAAAGACATCGCATTTATACAAACATTAACACAATACACTTAAATAATTAATTAATGATGCTTTTTGCAGTTGAAATGTAATCCATGTTTCTTTATTTGGCAATACAAATAAATGAACTGATAACAAATAAATAATTATTTACACAAAATAGGTTGTCAATCACTTTTATAAATAACACAACTTGCAAAATATACAAATGTATATCATGCTGTTTGTTCTGACGTATAACTTTATACATGACATGGACCCTTTAAAAACGTATAAGTTTATACATCGTACAGACCATCCAAAAACGTATAAATTTATACATCGTACAGACCATCCAAAACGTATAAATTTATACATTGTACTGACCATCCAAAACGTATAAGTTTATACATCGTACAGACCATCCAAAACGTATAAATTTATACATCGTACAGACCATCCAAAACGTATAAGTTTATACATCGTACTGACCATCCAAAACGTATAAATTTATACATCGTACAGACCATCCAAAACGTATAAATTTATACATCGTACAGACCATCCAAAACGTATAAATTTATACATTGTACAGACCATCCAAAACGTATAAATTTATACATCGTACTGACCATCCAAAACGTATAAATTTATACATCGTACAGACCATCCAAAACGTATAAATTTATACATCGTACAGACCATCCAAAACGTATAAGTTTATACATGGATTTGGAGGGTGCGTGCCATGTATAAACTTATACATATAAACATACGTATAAACTTACACAGTGATCCTACAAATTGACCCTCTTAAAGTGATGTGAAACTTTAATATAATAACAAGGAGTAATTACAGCTGGAGTAAAAGCTTAACAATTTCCTCTGAAGTAGGCTCAATGCCACAACAACCACGACAAATATATATGCGCTCTCCGAATACATGCACATTGATTCAAAAGAACTAACGATGAAACACCCGCGGCCAGTATTGCTACAGAGGATGCACATATGCAATTAAAGGTATTCAATATAATGATAATTGGTTACACAGAAAGTGCTCATGAATGGTATAACCAGGTGTAAGCAAACAGATACACGTCCAAAAATACAAGATTTAAAGTTGCTAATTCCATGAGTGGACACATGTGGACTTTACTCTGGTTGATTTAATTTAATAGAAATATTTTCTTGATAGTACCATATAAAATATGAAAATCAGAAAAGCAATCAGCAAGGGATCAATATTGTACTTGAAGCAGTACATATTTATTACACTCTTAAGGCAATATCTCAAGAAATCTTGCTTGTTGAGGAATGGGATTTTCAGAGTGGCATCGTACATAATTACTAAACAATTGCCTATTTGTTTTCTATGTTTATTGATATAATAAATCAACTGTGCAAACAAAAACCCACAAAGTTCACATCCTCTCTAAAATGTTTTCTTTTACTTTGGTGGCATCGCGCATCAAATATCAAAGAACCAAGGCAGTTTAATAATTCTATTGACTATCCTTTGGAATCTGCCAGATGTTTGCATAAATTATCCTCAGTTTGGACTCCAGCTCTGATAATTCCTTGATTATAACTTTGAAGTATATGATCTTCCAACTACATCATTGATATCAACAACCGTCTTCTGATGCTTGGAAATGAGTTAGATCGAGTGTTTCATTTTGACAAGATGGTAACAAAATCAAGGGCCCAATAGTTGTGACCCGAGTTTTTATCCTTGATAAAATAATAATATGTG